ACATATGGTAATTATTGGTACAGTGTCTGTCATCTGTCCATCAACTCAAAGAACTTTTTTTTGAATACTGATATATGCAGGGTTGTGATATTTGGCCAGTAACCATTAAGATAACTCAATGGAATGCTATTAAGTTTCCTCACATCTACTCTGACCAACTTTTAAGGAACAGAAATTGAGTCAAGGGAGATAATTAAGTAGTGTGTGGTATTTTTGGATGATATAGATAGAATTACTGACCTCCAGCACATAGCGTTGTTTCTCCCGTCGAACACAGACAAGTCCCGCGTTCTCCAGGCGTGTTAACGCATCCTGTACACACTGTTTCTTCTGTTCACCAGCGGATAGCAACTGTTCAAAGAGAAAAACTTATAACTGACCTCTGTATACATTAAGAAATTGAATTAGTGATGTCACAGAATCAGAACAGGGATCGATGTGCCACGGCGGGATGGGATACAACGAGATCTGATGGGAATGGTAACTCTATGTACTTCCCACTTAACATGGCAGGCATAAAAAATTGATGTGTAATTCCAGGCAAGTTAACAGCTAAAATAAATCAATTGACTCCTAGAAGGTTAAAATAGCCTTTTTCCAGGAAAAAACAATAAAACCACCTTATTCAATATCTAGCATACAGATTTCAGACTAAAAAGTATTTGAAACTAGCACTTCTGATTCTAAACAAGGAAAATGAAGAAATTTTAGCACACTGACGCCTTTGGGCCCCACCCTACAGCCCTTGGGGGTAGGGCTGGTTCAAAATTTTCAAAGTATCAAACTGTCAACTCAAGGTTATAATTCCAATCAAGTTATTAACATGTAATATTCAAAGTATCATTTGCCATTATAAACCATAATAAATTTTGAACTCTTCCAATTCAAATGTTGGAATAGTTCATTATGAAATTTCAGGGGTGAATGAGTTAAGACCCTTCCATCTATGAAGAGTATTTGATTCTACCATATCTGGGTCTTGAGAAGTAGATTTTGAAATTTCAGTCAATTCAACCCTTTTTGGCCCCACCCATCAGCCCTGGGGGGTCAGTCAGGGCTGATATGTGCATACTATCAAACTGCTACCTAATACTGATAATGCTAACCCAAATTGAATTACTTCCAATGGAAATTAAACAAATGTTGGTCCAAAATGTGATTTCCCTATATAAACTATAGTAAAGTTTACCCCCTCCCCAGGGG